ATTGATATGTATTTATTTATTGCCATTTTTGTTTAGTGTGGTTATATTTTTCTTTCTATTTCTTCTACTAATTATAGCAGTGCTTTTAACATTTCTTGCAGTGCTGGTTTGGCGCTAATGTATTCCCTTAGCCTTTTTTTGTCTGGGAAGCTCTTTATTTGACCTTCTATTTTGAATGATAGCCTTGCTGGTTAGAGTAGTCTTGGATTCAGATCCTTGTTTTTCATGACCTTGATTACTTCATGCCATTCCCTTCTGACCTGTAGTGTTTCTGTTGAGAAGTCAGCTGAGAGCCTTATGGGGTTTCCTTTGTAGGTAACATGTTGCTTATCTCTTGCTGCCTTTAGGAGTCTCACTTTGTGTTTAATTTTTGGCATTTTAATTATTATGTGTCTTGCTGTGAGCCTGTTTGGGTTCTTCTTACTTGGAGCTCTCGGTGCTTCCTGAACTTGAATGCCTTCTTCCTTCACCAAATTAGGGAAGTTTTCTGTCACTATTTCTTCAAATATATTCTCTAACCCTTGCACATTTTATTCTTCTCTGGGGACTCCTATGATGCGAATATTATTATGTTTCCAGTTGTCCCACCGTTCTCTTAAGCTGTCTTCCTGTTTTTTAACTGTTTTTTTCCTTTTGGTTTTCTGGTTGGTTGATTTTTTCTACCCTGTCTTCTAATACACTGATCCAGTCCTCAGCTTGCTCTGTTCTTCTGTTTAGTCCTACCAATGTGTTCTTTATTTCTGCTATGTCATTATTCATTTCCAATTGGTTGATTTTCAATGTTTCTATGTCTTTGCTCATGGTGCTCATGTCCTTACACATGCTTTGAGCTTCCTCAAGATCATGGATCTGATTTGTAAACTTGCTTAACTGCGTTTCATTTATCTCATCTTTGATAGAAGTCTCTTGTTCTTTCATTTGGGATTTGTTCCTGTGTTTCACCATTTTGGCTATCTCAGTGGACTTTGGAGCCTGGCAAATTTTACCTGTGGGTGTTGGTGTTCTGTTGTTTGTGGCTCCCTCTATTGGGTTTGGATGAGCGTGGGAGGACCCACGTTAAACACCACTGTCAAGTCTTACTTTCCTGGCTAGAGTTGCTAGCCTAGGAACAGTTCAGTTATCCTCTAGCTTTTTGCCTGGAGGCTATTAGTTGAGGTTACTTGAAGAGTCTTGGGTTCTCAGTTGAATGAAAAACTCCCTCTGGTGTTTAGTGTAAGGGGATTTCCGCAGTGTGGGGCAGATGCTGGTTGGTAATGAGCCTCAATTTGCATTTCAATGGCTCATCAGGAGGGGTTGAATCTCTGCAGGAGGGGCTGCTGCCTCTCCCTAGGGCCCTGGGAAGGAGTAAGATGACCACTGTCCTGTGTGGCCACAGCTCAGCAAAAGCTCTGAGTGCCCTCCAAATCTGGAGTATCCCCACACAGTTTCAGTCCAGTCCACCCTCTCTCTGCCAGAGCCCAAGGTGAGTGGCTGTGGCTATTTTAGCGTCTGCCCCAGCTCTACACTGTGGAGCCGCTTGGGAGTTTAACTCCGAGGGCGCTGCTCACAGCTAAAGCCGCTGCTGTAAGTGGCCTCCCAGCCCCCCTCTCACGCCTCCACAATCCTACCAGGATCGGTTCAGTGTCCCTGGTTATATGGTCCTCTCAAGCTGCTTTTTTGTTACTTTTTCTGGATGATATGTCTTTATTTTAGTTGTAATTCCAGTTTGGTCCTGGGAGATGATCTGTAGGTTCCATTTACTCTGCATTTTGGAATCTTGATGTTTTATTTTTATTTTTTTAAAATATGCTTTTATTGTATTTCTAGAAAGAAAGGAACAGAGAGAGAGAGAGAGATATAGAAGCAATGATGTCATAGAGAGGCATTGATCATCTGCCTCCTGCATGCCCCCTACATGCCCCTACTGGGGATTAAGCCTCTAACCCAGACATGTGCCCTGACTGGGAATGGAACTGGGACCTTTCAGTCCCTGGGATGACACTCAATCCACTGAGCCACACCAGGTGGGCAAAAGAGTTCTGTTTTGAGGTGAGGAAATTGAAGCACTTCTGCAGGATTGCTGGTGATGTAATAAGCCAGCATTTGCTTCCCTCCTGGTTAACAAGCTTCTGCCTCTTTTCTCAGTTCCAGGAACTAGGTCCCTGCTTGGTTCTCTAGCAGCCGCCAGGTGCCCATTCTGACATGCTGCCACACCCCAGAGGGACCTGGCCACTCTCCAGGGTGTCTCTAGAATCACATCAGGCAAAACTCCTGAGCCTCAGATTCTTGTGTTTCCCCAGGGTTGGAGGGGCGAGACAGGAAGGCAGGCAAGGAGCAGAGAGGAGGGCCCTAGGACACTGGCAGTAGCCACACTGTTGCTCCAGGTCCCATACCCTGAAGGGAGAGGAGATTCTATCACACTGGGAGTGGGGGACCCAAGCTTAGGAGGGTGTGTATATGTATTAGGGGAGGTATAGTAGGAAGTTTTAAATATACACCCGGTTACAATATATATATTTCACATGTTCTATATATATTTAAACAGTATATATTTTTAATGGATGAGGCAAAAATAGACATCCTGTAATCCAATAAATACTCTTGGGTACTTTTTGGGTGTGTTGATCTTACTTGGGAGATTATGACTTTAAAGTCTGATAAACACTTAAGGCCGAAAAGATAAGATGCTGAACTGCTTTTATGAACAGTACTTCTGACACCAAAAGCTTTGTCTTTTCCAACAGCACTCAACTCCGACACCAGCTGGGTACCCCAAAATCTGTTCCATCTTCATACTCTCTACTTGAAGTTAGTGTCAGATTCCACAGGTTAAGGGCTTAGTCCCACAAGAGCACCCCACTTTAAGTGCCAGTCACAAGTCCCGGACTGTCACTGGTACTTCTGACCAGCCAGCTATAAATTCAGGGGTTCCCATGCCCTCTTCCTCAGGTTGGATAGTTTGCTAGAATAACCCACAGAACTCAGGACTGCTTTACTTACTATTTCTGATTTATTATAAAGCATATAACTCAGGAACAGCAATGGAAGGGATATACAGGGCCAGGTATGGGGGAAGGAACACGGATCTTGCATGACCTCTCCAGGCTCAGCACCTTCCCACACCTTGATGTGCTCACCCAGCCTGGAAACTCTCTAAACCACATTGTTCAGGGGCTTTTATGGAGGCTTCATTACACAGGCATGAATCATTAAGCCATTGCTCATTGGTAACTGAACTCAATCTCCAGCCCCTTTCCCTTCCCCAGATGTGGTGTTGGGGCTGAAATTTCCAATCTTCTGATCACGTGGTTGGTTCTTCTGGCAATCAGCTCTCATCCTGAAACTAGCTAGGGGCTCATCAAGAGTCACCTCATTAGCATAAACTTAGCTAAGGTTGACAGGGGCTTGTTATGAATAACAAAAGATGCTCCTATTACCATCTCAATAGGATTCAGTTACTTTCATATTAAATGTTAAAATGCTGATCATAAACATTTGTATTTTTTTCTGAGTTGGCTTTCAAGCAGAAAAGGTTGCTCACCACTAGTTTAATGTCACTAGTAACCACATGTGTTTCTTGGGGATGTAAATTCTTGGGCTTGTTAGAGCAAAGTGCTCCCTGGGGTACTGTAAACAGATGTTGTGGAGGCATTACCCACATCAACAGAGCAAACTTCACTGTCTGGCTCATCAGAGAAGTTCCATCGGCAGTAAACTGGGGTTTGCTCATTCCTTTATGGAACAAATACCCACTGAGCGCCAGGCACTGGGCTAGTCCCTGCAAATAAAGGATAAAGTGTGGGTGATGTGGTCTTTGTCTTCAGGAAGTTTACATGCTAGCTGAGGCGAAAGTCCACAACAACCAAAGAAACAATTACAGATAAGGTGAATTTATGCAGGAAATGCTCTCAGTGCCCAGATGGAGACATGGGGGGGGGGGGGCATGGAGCCTCCCGAGAGGCAAAGACGTGCCCCGGCAGCCCTAGCTGGAGGTGAGAAGCCTTAGGAAGAGAGCCCGGGCAGGCCAGGGAACAGAGGGATGGGAAGCATGGGGGTGGGGGTTGGGGGGTTTGGAAAGCTGGGGCACTGAAATAAGTGTGGTTGGGGAGCTGTGAGCTCAGTGGGGACGAGCACAGTGAACAGCTGGAGAGGAAGGAGGGACGGTAGGAGCAGGAAGTAGAGACGGATCATGACTCACCTGCCCATGTTCCGGTAAGGAATTGGGAAATAAAGTGCCATTAGAGGTCATTGAAGGGCAAGGGGGGCAATAGGTAGGAAATAGGCTGTGAATAATGAGTTTGTGAGCATGGAATTGGGGGACACTCTACCTGTCGGTAGGTATAGTGGGTATAGGTCAAACCTGAAGTGTAGTGCAGAAATGTAACATCTTTTTTCCTTATAGCAGTGTCGCTTTCAAATCCCCATTCTTCTGGGGAGCAGAAACTTCGTCTCGAGTCTGGAGTGTCTGGACCCAGATAATGCAGGGTGAACTGGCCCTGTCAGCACGCCTTCCCCCCTTGAGGACTCTGCCCCTCCTCTTTCTCCTGGCCTTCCCCCAGGGTCCTCTAAGTTCTGGGGTTTGTTTACACCCTCAAGCCCGGAGGAAGTGAGTGGATTCTGCTCCTCATCAGCCCCAGGACCCAGTGGCTTCCCTGAGACTAGCAGTCCCTGTTGGAGTTTCATCATTTTTTCTTACTCTTGTCAGGTTCTTGCAAATCAAAAATGCCCTGGCTCTGGAGACAACTGACTGCCATGAATTTAAAAAATCGACTTAGAAACCCAGTTGACTTCTCCCTCCCCTTTCACTGAGGTGGGTGCAAATACCAGGAGCCAGGAGTGGTGCTGCTGCCGCTTAGGGCGAGGGGTTGGGGGAGGGGGAGAAGGATGTGACAGGAAACTACTGGCTGATAGATCCCACGTATCTCTCTCTGCGTGTTTTCCTAAAAAAGCTTTGAATAACTTCTCATGCCCCTCCTCTCCCAGGGCCACCCCTCCCCTCCCACCGTCTGCAGCAGGCAGCAGGCTGGAGGCTGGCAGAGACATTCTTTTGGGGGTGAGTTTTTGTCATGAACATGTTCCGCAAAGGCTTTCATTGTCTCAGGGGAGATTAGGACGTTCCGGCAGGAATGCAAAGCAAAGAGCTGCCTGGTTCTGCTTTGTAGTATCAAAATAAGATCTTGAATATCAAAACAGTGAGTGTCATAAGAGAAAAAGACGCCTTGAACATTTCTAGCTGCGATCCTGGACAAACAAGGGGCAAAGATGATGGGTCAGGAAAAGCTTCCTCCACTCCCAGCGATGAGGCCTAAGCGGGGCTCCAAGGGCAGAGAGGAGGAGCAGACGCCAGCCCTCACAGTGTGTGGCATCGGCTTCCAGGAGGGAGGGGGCCAGTCCAGAGTGAGGCTTGCTTCCCGGCAGGCTCTCCTCAGGCGCCCCTCGCACCCTGGCGCACCGGGGCGTAGTGAGTAGAACAGAATTTTGTTGAAAGGCAAAGGGTGTCTCCAGGCCAGAGCTAGGTTTCAGTTAAAACAATGAGGCAGAGTAGTTGGTGAAAAAAGTGAGGCTTTGGGGGTTTGTTTTCCATGGAGTGTGTGTTCTGGGAAACGGGGGAGTCCGTCCTGTGGGACGAGACGGGGTCAGGAGAAATGAAGTACAATATGAAGTGGGGAGAGAAGACAGATCATCAGAGGGACTTCCATCCCGCCAGGCGCCAGGCCACAGGACCGCGAGGCCGAGCGGGTGTATGTGGCTGCGAGGCTTCCCTCTTCGGTAGCCTGGGAAGAGTCAGGCCTCGGAGGAGCCTTGACCAGAGAGCCAGGAATCCCGTCAGCTGTGTCTGTGACTGAAAGAGCACTTCCGAGAGCGCGGCCTCTCCGAAGAGAAGTGTCCCAGGCCAGGTATGGCCTGTATCCCTCAGAGCACCTATGCGTTCCCTGGGCCCTGGCAGGCCCTTAGGGAATGTGTAATGAGTGAATAAAAATGTGCCTTCCCCTTGTATTATAGCTGGCGGCTGAAACAACAGACATTTGTCTCACAGTTCTGTTGGCAAGAAGTGTGACGTCAAGGTGTGTGCAGGCTGGTTCCTACGAGCCGTGAGGGGCTCTGCCTTGTGCCTTTCTCTCAGCTGCTGGTGTTTGCTGGCTGGCAGGCACCTCACCCGGATCGGACCTCTGCCTTCGTGGGCAGTGCGTTCTCCCTGTCTGTCTTCACAGGCTCCTCCTCCTCCTCCCCCTGCTTTTTATTTTATCCTCACCCGAGGACATTTTTTGATATTTTGTTCAGATAGAGTGGGAGGGAGAGAGAGAGAAACATCGATGTGAAAGGGACACATCGAGTGGCTGCCACCCGCACAACCCAAACCAGGGCCGGGGACAAACTGCAACCGAGGTACGTGCCCTTAGCGGGAACCGAACCCGGGTCTCTCTGGACCGCAGGCCGACGCTCTAACCGCTGAGCCAAACTGGCCAGGGCCTCCCCCTCCTTTTAACGACAAAATTAGTCACTTTTATTTAAAAGAAACATTACAAATAAGAGTGAAAGTGAAATTTCATGATTAAATACACAAAAGGAACATGCATACGTCACATGTACAAAGCCATGTACAAAGTTAGTTGATTACGTGACGGTAAAAGAACCAGCAACGTGGAGAACTTGCTGCTGCGGATTTTAAGTGTTTGCAACCTGGAGTCAAAACCACAAGTGAGATTTCTTTAAAGGGAATTTAAGAAAATGAAGCATAGACTTCAAGCAGTATTAACAACATGGAGCCCGCAACCTATTTTAGGCACCAAATGCTGAGAGAATGTCGTGTGTCTTTCGTTCTTCAAACAGGAGCGCTCTTCTGAATGCCGGGAGAGGAAAAGGTGGGGAGTCGGCGTGGGGACGGCGGGCTCAGGCCTCCTGCTCCGCTTTGTGGAGATGTCGGACGTCCCCTGCCCATCCCCTCTATTCAGTGACTTTCTTCTGCGACTAGTGTTTAAAGTCTGTGCATCACTCCGTTCCCTGCACACAGCCGGGAGCTGTTTTCGCCAGGACACCTCAGCGAGGCACAGAGGCCCGGCGTGTGCCTCCGTTCCAGCAGCTCCAGCAGGAAGACGGGACGCCAGCAGGTGCGCGCAGGACCAGGCCACAGGGCTACACAGGCACAGGGCGGGCCAGGAGCGGGACTCTCGGGCAATGCCCACCGGTGTTCTCTAACAGCTGTGTCTCTTTTCCTCATCTTCGGATGGGAGAACACTTCTCTCTCCTTTTCTAGGCAAGCTGCTAGTATCGTTATTCTGGCAAAATCTGGTGATAATGTAAGAACTAACATGTACACATCTGTCATTTCCCCATTACAGACTGAGTGGAAATGATGGAATCTGTTGCCCGAAACAAACTTCGATGTGTCCGCCCTTTCCTCAGCCCTGTCCCTAAGTTTGCATGGAACCCCGACTGTAGGTGGACCAGAGGAAGCGGGGAACCACTGAAGCCAGCGTCACGGTGGCAGCACAGGTGAGAAGCCAGCAGTCGGGCTCCGGCTGCCCAGAGCCTCTTGAGCATCCACGGTGCCTCAGTGATGACTCTCCCTTTAACCCTGGCAATGCGAGGCCTTGCTTAGGAAAACACACAACTGCCACGGCTTCGAAACCAAGGTCCCCGGGCCGTCCCCAGCGCGAGGCCATCTTCTTATGAAGACACTAGCCATTCTGGGTGAAGGGCCTGCCCACTCCAGTATGGCCTCATTTTAGCTAATTCATCGACCACGATCCTTTTTCCGAGTAAGGTGCATTCTGAGGTTAGAACTGGGGTTAGCACTTCAGCATACGATCTTTTTGGGAATATGGTTCAACCCATAGCACCGTCTTTTTGGACTCCACCCACCGCAGGGCCCCATACATCCTGTCTCTCAAATACGACTAACGCCACTGCTCTCCCAGCTCCTCTTCTAGGCCCTAGTCCGGTGCTGACAATGCTCACTCGAATGCCTGCTGCAGCCCGTGCACCTGGCTTCACAGTCTCATGTGCAGGAATGTAGATTTTTAAGTGTCCTTCAGCTTTACTGAATTTCTACCTCCAGTCACCATGGTTCTGAGGCAGGAAGCTCTGTCTTGTCACGCCCAGGTCAGCTCAGTGAAATTCAGTGATTTCTCAGTTTACTTGGGTTTAAGCTCAGTCATATTCAAGTATTTCTGTCTCCCTTCCTCTCCTTAGGAAGGCAAGGCGATCCCTGTCGGGGGCACAGCACGGTGCAGTGGCACTGAGGAGGCATCTGGATTCACGGTCACTCTGGGATGACATCCGTCTTCCACAGCGACGTCTGCTCTGGATGGTGGGTTTCTAGGGAAGACACCCCCCACCTAGTATTTGCTGCAGCAACCTGGGCTTGTGACTCAGGAGCACACTGCCACACGTGTTCTGCATCTCATCCTCATGTCTGCAATGCTCAGCAGCGCTTTCCCTGGGACCTGGGAGAATTTGGTTACTCTTCCCGTAGCTGCTGACATCTCCAGGACCCGGAAGGCTGCTCCCCTGGCCCAGGGGCCTGGACACTTTGAAGAGCAATTGGTCCTCTGTGGGTAGATCTGCATAGATTGCCAGTGTCCCAGAACTCCAGGTGGAAAGTCAGCATCAGCCTCTTATTCTTGGATTTCCTGAAATGTATTTGAGAGCTCAATTGTTTTCATAGGACAGACATAGCGGTGATGGACTATCTTTGTAAGATCTTTAATATCAAACCTCCTGTTCACCTTTGTATCCCTTGCACTTAGCACAGTGGCTGACATTCTAGGTGCTCAGGAAAGTATCTGTTGAATAAATGAGTTTCTCCAGCTATCTTCTGGGGAGAGTACGTGACATCTGTTAGATGGCATGTCTTAGGGGTTCCAATGTCATGGATAAATCATGACCTTTGCAATGGAATACTATGCAGCTGTAAGAAAGAAAGCCCTCTTACCCTTTGAGATAACATGGAGGGACCTGGAGAGTATTATGCTGAGTGTAATAAACCAGTCAGAGAAAGACAAGTACCACATACTCTCACTTATTTGTGGAACATTATAAACAAAATAAGCTGTCGATCAAGAGAGATCCAGTCATGGAAGTAGGGAACAGACTAACAAACCTCAGAGGAATGGGGGGTGAGAGGGGTGGGAAGAGATAAACCAAAGAACTTATCTGCATATATGCGCAACCAATGGACAGATGTTAGGTTGGGGAAGGCAGGGGTGGGGGTGGGAGCTTAAGTAAGTGCCTGGTTAGTGGCTGCTTTGATTACGGCTGTGCTCTCTTTAGCTTCTGTGAACCCCTCCGAACTTGCAGGCAGAATAATTTCTGTGAGTTCTGAAGAGGGGGCCAGTGCTGCGGGGCTCAGATCCATCCTTGGCTGATCATGGAATCAGACAGCTTTTGCAGGCTCTGGGAAGGAGGACGTGAGAGCCACCAGAGCGCCGCCTCCACCCTGGCCCCCCCCCCCCCCCCCCCCCCCCCCCCCCCCCCGAGAGCGGCAGTCATCCTGGGTTTGATGCCCTCCTGTGGCTGGGAGGATGCACGATTCTGGCAGCTGTTCTGATGTTCAGAGAGAGGGCCGAACCCTTCCTGTGGTTGTAACTCAAAAACCACTTTTTTCCTTAGAAGGTACCAGACAAAGGATCTAAACTTCATTTTAATTTCTAGAAACAGCAGAGATAGGTCAGGAGGTTTTAGACTGTGAGGGAGGAAAGAGATGTATTTTCCTGGCAAGAGTTCCTTTTAGGATATAGGGTGTAAACTGCTCTGCGAACACTGGTCATGAGCTCTGATGACTGTAATAAACGGCAGGATCTTGTTACCGTCTCTTCTTTCTGGTTTGTTCCTTGCCAGTGGGGTAGGGAAGTGGTGACACCCTTCGTTTTTTTGTCTCTCGGTCAAGCGGGTGCCAACTGGAAGACCTGCTTCTGTTTCCCACAACCAGGTCTCACTTAGTTGGGGACATTTTCCGACGTGCCATTCTGTTCTGAGCACGGAGGAAACCGAGAGGAATCTAGCAAGTCTGAAATGGTAGGTGAGTTGGCAGGAATACTGACCTCCTCGTTTCTAAAGTGCACTGGGGGAAAACAAAATCCTACGCGTAGGATCCACGCACCCGTCTTACTCTCGGAGTGGAGTTTCCGGGAGCGACAGTGGAACTGGAGACCGAGCCGCAGGGCGGCCCCAGAGTTGCTGCGTCCAAACCGTGGCAACGACAATCCCACTGGAACCCAAGTTGGTTAGTTAAGCTCCCAATGGCAGTAGCTGATGGCATAAGTTGAGTCTGTTGTGCCAGGCTTTCTGCACAGCAACCCTCAGAGGGAGGTTCATTATTTCCATTTCACAGGCAGAGAAAACTGAGGCCAAGGGAAGTGCAACAAGTTGCCCAAGTTTGCGTAGCCTGGCAGAGCAGGGCTGGCCTGGGACCAGTCTGACCCACGGCAGCCTGGCCCTAACGGTGCTGTCCTCTGGTTGCCACCCTAAAGACCCGCGCCGGCTGCGGGCGAGGAGAACGAGGCTGCCCTCCGCCAGGAGTGAAATGACATGGTTCTGGAGAAACGTATCTTCTTGATAAGGGAAGAGTTGCTCTGTAGGGTCCAACTCTAATCTTAGCCACTTGATGCACTTTCCACACACATTTCTTCTCCTCTCTTCTTAAACGGAGAGGACAAAAAAATGATGTAACTGTTTATGCCCTAACATATTTAACCTAACATGCATACTATGTGCAAAGTGCTTTGCCTGGATGACTGCCCTCGAGTCTCCTGCTAAGCAGAAAGGCAGGCACTGATATTGACCTCTTTTTTCTGATAATAAAACTGAGGCACAGAGAGGTGAAGTGATTGGCCCTGGGTCCCAGAGCTGGGACCAAGTTTGGATTTGAGTTCAGGCTCAGGTTTCAGGGCCTGTGCTCTTACTGGCCAAGAGTTCTGAATTATGGCCCAGAGGAACATTCGGGTGGTAGGACGGCAATGGGTGTCTCTGCTGTTTATTGATCCCCGAGTCTGTGCCCAGTCCTGTGCTAGGAGCTTCATGAGTCTTAGCTCACTCAGTCCTCTCCACCAGCCTAGGACTTGGTGCTGCTGTAATTCCCTTTTATTGCTTAGGGAACAAAGACTTAGAGAGGTTAAGTAACTTGCCCTACATCACTTAGCTAACAAGTGGCAAGAGTTGAGTTTCAAATTCCTGTCTGTAGCACCAAAACTCATGCTCTTTCGGTTATACAACCTGCCTTTCAGGGTGGCCTCAGGAGAAGAGACCTTCGAAGGTTGCTGGTGATTAGCATGAGGGTGCCCTGCTGGGGGGCTGGGCACAAGCTCCTCAGCTCTCCTTGTCCTGTTCCACTGCTTCTGCCTCCCCCAGAGTCACAAGTCTAGCGGTTCCCTGGCTAAATTAGATGAGTGGAGGCTGAGTGTGCTGGTTGGTGTTATATCCATTTCAATATCAGGCTGAGCCTGTCATCTGGGATGTGGTACCACAGCAGAGAGATTGATTTGGGGTTTGATATAGACACAAAGGACCAGTCCAAAGGAAGTTAGTCCAAGGTCAGGCAGGTAAGGACCCACAGGCACCCAATAATCATCCGAGGCAGGGGTGGGGTTTGACAGTGTTTATTATTCCACATCACAGACATTCTATCTTGCTTCCTCCATGCTGGCAATGTCCAGCCCCCACAGTAAAGCCTGAAAATGCCAGAGGGTCACGTTTCCCAACTCCTTTGCAGCTAACGGACCTGTAGAACACTGTTGCAGAGAGTGAGATGTTCGGGAATGTCCGTTTTCTTTTTGATGAAAAGAGGGAGAATTTTTATTTTTTTATTATTATTTTTTTAAATCTTTATTGTTGAATGTATTACAGATGTTCCTCATTTTTCCCCCATTGACCTCCTCCTCCCCACTCCCGCCCCCCTCCTGCCTTTTCCCACACTGTTGTCTGTGTCCGTTGGTTATGCATATAAGTTCTTTGGTTTATTTCTTCCCAACCCCCAATCCCCTTCCCTTTGAGGATTGTTAGTCTAGCAACCAATATGTACTTCTTAATTCCTTCACCTTTGTCACCCATTGCCCCAACCTCCCTCCCATCTGGCAACCAACAAAATGTTCTCTGTATCTATGAGAATGTTTCTGTTCTGCCTGTTCATTTTGTTTGTAGATTCAATTGTCGATAGATATATATTCATTGCCATTTTGTTCATATATTTTATCTTTTTCTTCAAAAAGACCCTTCAACGTTTCATATAATAACAGTTTGGTGGTGATGAACTCCTTTAAGTTTTTCTGTTCTGGGAAAGTCTTTATATGGCATTGATTCTAAATGACAGCTTTGCAGGATAAAGTAATCTTGCTTGTAGGTTCTTGCTTTTCATCACTCTGAGTATTTCTTGCCACTCCCTTCTGGCCTGCAAAGTTGCTTTTGAGAAATCAGCTGACAGACTTATGGGAACTCCCTTGTAGGTAACTAACTGCTTTTCTCTTGCTGCTTTTAAGATTCTCTCTTTGTCTGGAACCTTTTGTATTTTGATGATGATGTGTCTTGGTGTGGGCTCCTTGGGGTTCATCTTGTTTGGGACTCTCTGTGCTTCCTGGACTTGTATGTCTGTTTCCTTCACCAAGTTAGAAAAGTTTTCTGCCATTATTGTTTCAAATAGATTTTTGATTTCTTGTTCTCCCTCTTCTCCTTCTGGCACCCCCAAAATGTGAATGCTGGCACGCTTGAAGTTGTCCCAGAGGCTCCTTACACTATCCTCATTTTTTTGGATTCTTTTTTCTTTTTGCTGTTCTGATTGGGCATTTTTTGCTTCCTTATATTCCAAATCGATGGTTTGCTTCTTGGCTTTACCTACTCTACTATTGAATCTGTGTAAATTATTCTTTATTTCAGTTAGTGCCTCCTTCATTTCTGACTGTGCATCCTTCATTTCTGACTGGTCCTTTTTTATGCTCTTGAGGCCCTTACTAAGTTCACTGAGCATCCTTATAAGCAGTGTTTTGAACTCAGTATCTGTTAGGTTGCTTATCTCCATTTCACTTAGTTCTTTTCCTGGAGATTTTTTCTGTTCTTTCATTTGGGACCTGTTTCTTTGTCTCCTCATTTTGGCTTCCTCCTTGTGTTTGTTTCTATGTATTACTTAATGAGAGGTATGGGGCTAGCTGAGACCAGATACTGCTTGTTTGAAAGAATTTAGGAAAACCTGAAGCAGGATCCAAGACAGGCCAATCATATGGTTAAACAACTGGCAACAGCTTGGGTGGGCCTGAAAGCTGGGTGGGCCTGAAAGCTGGGTGGGGTGGGGCGGGGCCTCAGTGAGTCACCAGGGCGGGGCTACCCGTGTGAGCCAGGTTGCTGGAGTCCCAGATATGGCTTCTGTCTTGCTGCCCAAGGGCAGGGCTCACCAAAGGAACAAAGGCCTCTGACAGCACGTTTGTCCCGGAGAAAGCCCCCTCTCCAGCCCTCGCTCCAGTGCCAAACAGCTCAGTTCTTCCCTGTATGTCTCTGGCGCCCCTCGAGCTGCCTCCCCTCCAAGCTTAGAGGGAGAGAGTCCGACAAGTCCGTGCGCGGGCCCTTTAAGGAGCTGCCTGGGGCTCCAGCTGCGTCAGCTTCCCTGAGCCTTAGTTCCCACTGGTTTTTCCAGCCAGAAGTTATGGGGATTCTCTTCCTGGCACTGGAACCCTGAGTGGGGCGCCTGGTGTGGGACGGGGACCCCTCAGTCCTCAGGAAGGACCTTCCCAGACGAGGTACCCTCCTGATTTTTATCCGCCACACTTGGGTGTGGGACCAGCCCTTGGCGCCGCCGCTGCCGCCTCCACCGCCGCCCCTTGTGCCTCCGGCCCTCCTACCAGTCTGGATGTGGCTGCTGCTTTAATTCCATAGTTGTAGGACT